TTTTTTTTTTTTTTTGGAATGATTGTTACGTAAGAATTTTATATCTTCGTGAAGTTTTTATTTATATAATAATTTGAAAATCGTTCGATACAAGAAGGATACAAGAATATGCACTGAAAAATATAAGTTAAAATTTAATCTGTGATTCTTCTATATTTTTCTGTTTCAAGATCGAATAAATTTCGATATAAAAGTGTCGTTCAGAATTTGCTTTTCTTATTAAGAGTATAAGTATTAATAATTGGTGAAAGATCGACTTTTAAAATTAAAGACTTTGTTCTGTCTTTTTCTTCATATTCCTTCATTTAAATACTCTCAATAAATCGAACAAAAAATGGAATAAATAGATTCGTTGAAAGGAATAGGTCAAACGTCGTTCGAGTTAAATGAAAAAAGTTTTCTTCGTATCTAAATGAAGGTGTAATCCTTTATTAGCTCAAGAACCTCTAACTTTTCTAACAAAGTTTGCCTTTTTTCTTTATTTCTCTCCAAACAAAAAAAAAAAGAAATCTAAAAAACCATGTTTTCCCTTCGTTTTTTTTTTGTTTTCAATTACAATCGATCGAAACAAACACGTTTATTATTCAGAAATTAAAAAGCAAACAGAAAGCCTCAGGGCTTAAATATCATTTTCCACCCCATGAATTTTTTATTCTCGCCGTTAGTCGGTAAATTGGTAGATATTAATTGCGCTCGAGATTTAAAATTTCAGCCGAATAGGAACAAAAAAATTGTCCATTAAAGGTTAATTACCAAGTTAGTTAACGATAGAATTACGAGCGAGCTAGAAAATCAATCGTGGCATTATTATTCGTTTCGTGTCATCGAGATCACGTTTTCCTTTATTACGTGACCAATACACGATTGATTTGTTATTAAAATGAGCGGAGACAATCGAGTGATTCACTTCTATAAAAAAATTAAATTTTCAACTCCCTTATTTGTAATCAATTTTAATCACTTCAACTTCTCCATTATCTCAAACTTACCCTTCCATCATTTATCCCCATCCGATAATTTCGAAATGCAATGAGCTCGCCTGAATCTGATATCCAACGAAGATTCTTATCTTCGTTTGAATTTAATCGACAATTTATGTTATAACTATTGTTAACTCTTTCATCGCCTCCATCTTGAAACTGATGGCCAAGATCTCGTTAATTCCTTCGAATCGCGAATCAATTATAGGATAGTTTCGAAACTTGTGGAAAATTAACGATTGCACGTGTCAATCTTCCGGAAATCCCCCTAATTCTGTTAGAAACTTTTGTTGTAAAAGGAAGATCACTGAGTTTAAGGGATGATCATACTCGGGAAACTGTAAATAACTCGTTAGTTCGGAAATTAATGTCAGAAGATGTTTGAAGTTCTCGTTTCTCGAGAGAAATCGAGGAGAGAAACGAGAAAGTGTACTTAAAAATAAGACTTTGATCGATGTTGGTCAGATATTACAGTTTAGTCGTGTTGACACATTTGATACAGATGGCGCCATTTAGTGGTTTTGTTCGTATATTTAATATATATCCAACCATATAAATTCGTTATTTATTTCACGTTTCATTTCAATCGTTCATACGTTGATTTATTGATTGTAATTAACAAGTTTTTTTTAATGAAAAATCTTTTATTTGGACAAATTATTTGGAATAATATTATATAATATATTCTAATGTGTAATAAAATAGTAGATGAGAGTTTTGCATTCATTTGAATAAAAAATGAACGGAAATATATAATATTTTTATGAAACAATAATAAGAAGAAACCTTTAATCTTTATTTTTAAAATTACACATACTTATTTTTCTATATAATCACCACTTACTGCAATACATTTCCATCAACGTTACCCTGGTTTTTCTAATCCTTTTCACGAGAAGATCAACATTTTTCTCAAAACCATTTCTTCATTTAGTAGACTTTACCTCTTCGTTACAGTTGAAATGTTGGCGTTTCAAGTGTCCATTAGTTTCAGAAATAGATGAAGATCACACAAATACCAAGTCTGGACTTTATGGTGGATGGATGGTTTCGAGAAAATGGAGGCAATTTCTTCACGAATTACAATTAAGCACAGCGTTGCCAAAAACGCATCTGAAATAGATGAAAAAATAAATACAGAAAAATGTAAGTTTTAAAAATAAAGAACCTTCTTTTACCATTCTTTCGTACGAAGATATATCTTCCTGTTCGTTATTTATTTAAGGATAGTTTTCAACCACCCTCGTCTATTCATGCGCAACTGGGTCGATTCTAGGGGTTAAAATAAAAGTTGTTAAACACAAAAGTGTCACTTATTTATTAAATCCATTAGATGAGAAGTAGATAAGTTTAGATGACACGGATCACTTTTGTCCGTATGTCATCTATCATGTTTCACCATATTCTGAGGGTTAAGCGAGTATACCATACTTCTCCATCCTCGTCCATTCATTGGCATCTTCGCAATTGCGAAACTTTGCAGAATTGATTGAACTACATTTTGAAATTAAGCATTTGTTAGTGAAATTAATTCACTCTAAGTTATCAAACTTGTTCTATGTTGCTCACAATGGAATGTGAAATTGATATACAATTTCGCAAAAGTCTCTCTCAAAGGAATTTTCGAAAATGAAATTTTCATATTCGTTATTAATTAATATAATAGATTGGATTAAATTTCGTTTGATAAATTTTTAAAATTTAAATTTTAAAGAAGTTTGAACAAAGTTATTAATTTAGAAAAACTAAGCAAAAGTTTGTGAACATGTATAATTCAATATATAATTATTGGCTTCTCTATTATTGATAATTAATCTCGTTTCCAGAAAAATATTATTAAGAAAATAAATTATCTCAATATTAAAATCTTTTTCCACATGGAAAATTCGTTAATTTTAATTTTACAAAAATCTGATAGGCTGCTGCTTCNNNAATTATTTAATTAACGTTCGTTGTTCGTGTTCGTATTTTTGTTTGTTGAATTA